TTACATGCCGATCGCCGCGCCGATGGCTTCTCCTTTTCATCTCAAGTCCTCGTCATCATTTCTCTCTCAGTCGCGCCGTTCCTGGCCAAATTGCGTGTTTGGTCTCTCTCTTAACTCGATTAATTTAAGGTGCTGTCTCTTGTATCACCGAATAACGACAAAATTAGAAATTACTGTACTCTCAGGAAATGTGAAATTTTGTTTGTAATTTTTTTTCTAAATCCGATTCTTTTTATATCTACATTTAAAAAAATTGCAAAATTTGCCGCCTCCTAGATTTGCCGCCATGGGCCGCGGCCCATGTGGCCACCCCCTTAATCCGGCCCTGAGTTTCAATATATTTCATTAAATTTCAGGCGTGAAATTTCATTCGTATAAATGTCATGAAATTTTCCATCTCTGGAGCCACCCTGATAATCGATCCTTTTCCATAGGTTTAAATGGTAGATCAATCGATATATCGCAAAGCACGCCACGCCACTGTGCGATTCGCGCGTCAAGAGCCGTGCGCGACTCTTAAAGCCTGTGTTCCACTATGTCAAAGGAACTCATCAAATGCAAGACGGCGATTGTTGATCATCATTTGCTGTCTGCCAACTTTTGATAGCGGACTTGCGCGAAAGCCAGTACACATCTCCGCCATCTTTCATTTGATGAGTTCATTTGATCACGGGCTTAGGGCTCGGAAGGACGCGACAGCGCGACGCTTGAAGTATACCTGCAGTTTCACAGGCGCTTCCCAAGATCCTTTTTAGCTCGAAGTTCGAAGTTTTGAAGATTTTTATCCGCCAGACTAGGCCCCTTTCACAGATCCGCTCACAATGGAGATGTTGCATGTGTGAGGAATTTGCGATTTGACTGTTGATTCTTACGTAAAAGTTCGCGAGAAACACGATGGTGCCACTGGTTTTCTCTGAAATCAACTCCCAAGCTCAAAAAAAGCTCTCAAGTTGAGGTCAAAATGGAGGGGATATCCCACGCTCTCCTGAGAGTCCACCTCTACATCAAAACAAACTCTCCATGCAAAGATAGGGAGCAAATACATGGCTGCCACTTTATTTAGGGACTCTAAAACTGAAAACACGGCAACACTGCTAATGTATTTGCTCCCTATCTTTGCATGGAAAGTTTGTCTTGAAGTAGACGTGGACTCTCAGGTTAGCGTGGGATATCCCCTCCATTTTGGCCTCGACTTGAGAGCTTTTTTTGAGCTTGGGAGTTGATTTCAGAGAAAACCAGTGGCACCATCGTGTTTCTCGCGAGCTTTTACACAAGAATCAACAGTCAAATCGCTAATTCCTCACACATGCAACATCTCCATTATGAAGCAACAAAAATTTCTTGCATATCCAAAGCAATGAAAGGGAGCTTGGTCCCTTTTTCGCTGACTCGGAGACTTTAACGCTTGAGAGGAAAAGTTGGACGAGCCGAAACGCAGGATACAACTATTCCGTCTTCCGAATAGGTGAAATTGCATATCCACAAAATGAAGGAAAACGTGATTATGTCATGATACGTATCCATGTGTGGTATACAGAGTGATCCAGGGTCTAACGGACAGACTGCAGAAGCGTGTTCTATGGGCCAACAAAATAAGACTTTTTTCTTGCATAAAGTTTATTAAAAAAGTGCCCCAGTCGGAGCTACGCCCCCCCCCCCAAAAAAAAATCGGAAAATAAATAGTTTTTCCTGAATTTTGGCAACAGTTGCGAACCAAATCTCATGAAATTTTGTACTCCTCTGTACTTTCATGCCCTGAATTCATAAATGATCTATAAAAAAAATCGAAATCTCAATCTGCAACAATAAAGTCTTATTTTGACCAATAGAACACGCCCCTGCAGTCTGGCCGTTTAACCCTGGATCACCCTGTATATCGTCGATAGGCATTTCCACCTACTTGGAAGTCGAAATAGTTGTATCATGCATTTAGCCTCATCCAACTTTTCCTCTCACGTGTTAAGGGGAAGAGAATGACAGAGAAGGGACGGTTGCCCAAGGGGTCAAAGGTGCTTTTTTAGGCACATTCATAATTTTCTAATAAGTAAAAGGGTACAAGTCCAGAGGGGAGAGGAGAATAATACTCCCTGGCCTTATCGATCTTCCTAAATACGATCACTACTGAAAGGGCAGCTTTAAGGTCACCTTTACAATCTTTCCACATTTGGTGGCAGAATTATCTTTATCCAAGAACTAGTAAGGAAGATCTGGGCCCAGATTAGGGTTGCTCCAAGACACAAAAACATAAAAACTTGTTAGTTCAGCAGTTAAATGGGAATGTAGTGATGACAGTGCCGTCCCTTAATGGACAAAGGAAAGCCTGCTAGTATACGGAAACAAGAAATTGTACTGTGTGAAATATTTAAGTTCCTGTTTACCTATACAAGTTCAAACAAGGTGGTGAGTACTTTTGCAAGACAAAAAAACCTGGTATTATCATTTTTCAGATTTTCCGTACCACATGGCTCGATGTAGAAAATAAACCTTAACCCCTCTTTTCAGAAAAAAATTTCTTTTTTCCGACTTCCAGATTTTGGCAAGAGAAAATAAATGACTAGTGGAACTCAAAAAAATTCATAACTGAATTTTTTTGAAAATGTGGGTTGGTTCCTTTCTGATAAACTTGGTCCAAATAGGTATGTCTGATTTCTTTCATTTCAAATCCTTATGAGCTGTTCTTTATTCTCCGCTAAGATATGTTATACGTCATATTATATTGCTAGGATTTAAGAGCTTGTAGAATCTTAATTACCAATCCAATTTAGTCAAGAAACTTGGACTGACCAAAATTCATCACACTAGTACACTGCTTATGATTAAAAAAGAACTGTCACTGCTCCATTCCCAAAATTGCAATCACAAATAGTACCTAAGACACACATGGAAAAAATCCAATTAAAGGAGAAAAAACAGAAGTGCAAGAAACCCAACCCGCAGATACAACCATTGTAAGAACATAAACACATAAAATGAGAGATTCATTTCCTTTCAGATCATCCTGCAGCCCGATTATTGAAACTATAGGCATGATCAGGCTAGACATACTTAGCCCTATATTAACCAAGCGATGCACTGCATTTCGATGTCTCGTCATGCTGCTTTAAACTTTCAATAATCAGCCTGCTGACTGCTAGAAGCATGAAATGAGACAAACGCACAACGCTGTGATAAGGTCAAACATTTTAGGAAAATAACTAGGGGCTGACCAGCTCATTCACGAGGCAATCTTTATCACTTAAGTAATTCACACTGTATGGAGTGTTTCTGGAATCACAAGCTGCAGCTCTTGTTAAAGTCCTAGGTGGGTGGTGAAAATTAAAGAAGCAAACCGCATTTTATGGATTGTATCATGAGCAATAATGGAATCCTCTGGGATCAGCGGATTTCCAAAGATAACAAGAGGAGGATATACAACACTGTAGTAAAAAGTATATTAACATACGGATGTGAAGTTTGGCAGCTGAAGAAACGGATCTGGAGAAGGTCGGCAGGAATTTCTAGGAGAGATCGGGTCCGTAATGATAGAGTGCGTCAGATAATGGAAGTCGAAAATGACATCGTGTTCGACGTCATGACCAAACAACTTGGTCGGTATGGTCATGTCAATAGGATGACGGAAGAGAGGCTGCCAAAAAAGATGCTTGATTGGGTTCCTCCTGGGAGGAGGCGTAGGGGACGCCCAGTGAGAGGTTGGCGACAGGGGGTGTTAAGTGAGATGAGGGAGTGTCAACTCCCTGATAACCTGTGGGAAGACCGAGCTTTGTGGCGATTAGGTGTCGCAAAGCGCCAAAGAGCGCTATAACAGCGACTCGTATGTATGTATCATGAGCAATACATTCTTCAAACTCCATTTTAATTCATTAGTAACGATTTCTTAAACCAGTGGAGCAACACTGACGGTGGAGAGAGAAGCTCCGTTGGGAGGATTCTTGGCTTTTCAGCCTCACAGTTTTCTCCTCTGGTGCCAATTCTGGGTGTAAGTAATTACAAATTTCTGAAGATGGAAATCATAGATTGATGAGGATTTGGAATGATATGAAAAATTGATGATGTATTCCACCAATGAGCATCCTATGCCAAATCCTGCTCATCCATCAAACAGAGTCCAGAGGCTGGAGCTCCCTCATAGTTTGGGAGGATAAAAGTCACATTCTCTTAATAGCAGCATTCATCGGTGGTGCCATCTGAATGGACTAAAAATATGGTGAGGTGTGTCTATTTGAAACTCATCAGAGCTTGACTTTCGCTATGATATCAATGTGTAAGCTCCATAAGCTCCGGAGGCGATTACTTTTTCAGAAGTAGTGATTAAAACTTCAAGCTGAGAAAATGCGTACACCCTGCATGATACGAAAGAGCCTCAACTCATTACCTGTTAACTGGCAAGCTAATGCAGCCATACAAATAGAGAAAGAGGCCATGCGGTAAGAAGAGTCGGTTAATGAGTTACTGATTCACTCTCACCTTCATTGGCTGAATCAACAGGTGAAGTCATAGCACCCGTGATAATGAAAACCGTGTTCCAGGATCAACATGGTGAAAACAGCTACTGAAGTTTTGCAGTAGGGAATTTGAAATTTTGAATTCATGTGAGAAAAGTGAAAACTCAGATTGCGTGAGGAAATTATTTTACCCTAAGTACATGTGTTACTCTGTTACTCATAAACAATGTCAGATATAGGTTATGGCACAAAGGCAGATAAGATCAGGAATGGGCTTCTTATCAGTTCTTAGTTCGGCACATAATGCAAAAAATTGGCTTCTGATGGACGGAGAAAGGTCCAATTAAAGGCCTTGAAGGGAAAATGAGACGCAAAGTTGAATATTCGCGACTCCAAGGGACTACATGAGCCCATGTCCATTTCAGGAGATGCTCATTTCCGGGCTAACTTCGCGAATCTTATCAAAATTGACGGGAGAAAAAGACCGTGAAAGGAGAGGATCTCAGTAAACTTGAAAAAACGTTGTTTGTTACACATAAGAAACAGAGTGACAATTACCTGGGAGTTGAATATATCCATTTCAGCGGGTTAATTATATAAATAAAACAAGGAAAATAAGTCTTCAAGGTCTCGCAACGACTTGCCCGCACTCCTCCGCGCAAACACAAGAAATTATATTGCACCTCACTCACTCACACATAGAATCGAAGACAAATTAATCTCGGCACACAGACGCGAATAAAGAAATCGAAAACTGCGATGAAAAATCTTAGTAATTAATTATGTGATTACCGTTCGCGACGTAAGTAAATATTAGAAATAATAGCACGCAAAACGAACGTTTCCAGCCGCACGAAGCGCAGATTTCGGTGGATCTCGGATTCTGTGGAATTAGATGGGAACTGGGGTCTAGCTATTTTTGGAACTTTGGAACGAGGAAAGAAGCAGAGATCGAGGAATCTGATTGGGCGATTCTTTGGATACCGGCTCAAGAGGAGGAGTGAAGGCGACTGCTCGCGGATTCTCCGTGAAGCTTTATGAGCTTTTAAGCGTCGATTCGCCAGGAACGGTAGTCTTCTGCGCTGGTGTGTATTGTCTGTGGTATCATGCGCGCTTACAGGCGCAACAGTTGTGACTTGCGCATCGCTCATTACAAGTTACAATACAACACAACAAGCAAGATGATTGTCCTCCTCCGTTCAGCCGTGGCTTGCCGGCAGGGTTGCGATGATTCATGAGAAATAAAACCTTAAAATTTCACGAGAGGTATTTCATAAAATTTCACAAGAAATATTTCAAGAAATTCCAGAAGAGTACGTAAAATATTGAAAAATATGAAAAATACGGAAAGATATTTTTCGAAATGAAATGCAATATTAAAATAAAGGCGACTCATTTTTGCTTGTTTGTATTTTTTAGTGCGTGTTGCATACCCAGCTCCTGAAAATATGTTATATATTTTAAGCGATTTTGTTAAAAATGCAATATTTCACAGAAATTTTCAATATTTCTCAGAGATTTTAAATATTTCTCAGAAATTTTAAATATTTCATATTTTTCATTTCACCCGTGAACCTTCTGCAGCAGTAGCCAGTAGCATTGGTTTTCTAAAATTTTTCGTTTTTCGTCCTGAAACAGAGAATTTCTACAACCCGTCTCAGATTAATTTTTCACTTTGGTTATAAGTAATTTCCAATCCAGCGCATACAGGAAAAGAGGGAAAGTAATCTGAAATGGGCTCTATCAAATCGTCGATTTGAAGTTATTGGATGTTCTTCGGGTACCCTAAATTATTCAGAATTGACCCTTTCAAGCTGCATGGTATAATGGTATCTCATTTGCCCCCGTGTAAGTAAGTCGTCACGGTTTCTGGCGTAGTCGAACTGGCGTGAGATAAATCGCATCGAGCAAGTAAAAAATCTCGGCAGATTTTGAATTTGCCATAAAATGAACTATGACCTGATGACAAACGACAGCTATCGATTTCTGTATCGAATGCGAAGTTTTTTTTTTTCCAAAAAAGATCCTGCTTTCATTTCTCGAAACATTGCCAATATTTTTTGCTTAAAGTGATTCTTCAGGCTCAAGCGCAGGAGATACCTAAAGTTCTTTTTCGCCGAAAAATCCAAAATCTGCCGAAATTTAGTCCCTAGCGATCGATATATCTTACGCCAGTTCGCCCACGCTAGAAATCGTGACGAAGCACCTTAAAACGATTTTTTTTAAATTCCGCGGGTAGTAATCTGGATGCTATGTCCTATGTCCCTGGATGCTAGGTCCTATGAAGATGAAAACTCTGCGCTCAAAGCCACCACGTTTCCTGAAGAAAGCCGAATTTTTAAAAAAAATGCTCCTCTAATTTTTTTTCTTTATAAGTGTGTGGTTCCTGGCGACATGTAATCACGAGCCTTCATATGTGCGAAACCAAAGAAGCTGGAAGCCGGAAGGAAGTCGGCATGCTTTGCGATGTATCGATTTATCTGCCGTTCCCATTAAAAATTGATTAAAAGGGTTTCGCAACGAACACCCTAATAATCGATTCTTTACCATAAGTAGCTACAAATGAGGGAATATCGATAATTGATCATTTACGCCACGTCACTGCGGGTTCCTCTTCCTCCTCCTCCCCAAGTTCTCTGAAAAATTGTGTTGGTGGGAAAACTTTGAATATATCTAATTTGTTAATTACTTCTACAGGCGGATCCAGCAATTAGGCAACATTGGATTTCCTCCAATTAAAACTATGTTAAATAATCGATTCTTTTCGGAGCACCTGGCCCCTCCGGGCATCGATACATTTCCATGGGTTTAAATGGAGAAAAAGCAATGTTGCCAATTTGCTGGATCCGCCAATGAGCTTGTTCTCAGGAAGGTAGAGGGGGAGGAGGCACAGACAAGTATTTCTCTCTCTGGAAAAATTGCAAAAATATAGCGGAAGAACGTAGGGGTGTATGTATGCCCCCTCCCACCCCCTATTTCGCCCGAAAGAAAGGATGACGATAAAGAGAAGGAAATAAGGAGAAAAAACGGTGGGAAGAAGGAAAGAGGCCTGTATTCGGTAGTTATTCATGTCGAAATTGAATCGAACTATAGGTACTCTAAATGGACTTCATTTTGCAATTTGGAACTACAAATTCTGGCTCTTCTGGAAAAACACTTATGTGTATAGGGAAATTAACAGCACATACGTTGTTTTTAAACCGGTCTAGAATTTATAGTTCCAAATTGCAAAATATGTAGTCCAAATCGAACTGCATATCGTCACCTTCCGGTCTGAGTATCACAAGTTCCACTTGGCAAACTTTTCAGGAGACACAAAAAACTGATTTGCGACCACAAAAGACGGATATTCGGCTTGAAACTTGGGATACCGATCTTTCATTGACATCAATATGGAAAAATGCATCTCGTTATTTCAAAACCAACCATAAAAATTTATTTCGATAAAAATCGCTGTTATGATACTTTGTCCCGAAGGTGGCGATATCAAATGCTTCAAACATTTTTAAATTTTCAGCAGGGGGGGGGGGGGCGGAATCCCCCTTCGCACCCTTCCCCCTCCCGTCCGAGGCGACTGGCGATCCGCCAATGCATACAGAAAAAAAAGGAGGCGTTTGCATTTCGAGCATCTTGGAATTTTTTTGATGACGTAGGTCGGCACAGCGACTTTTATCATCGATTTTCTTTGAAATGGTGTAATTTATGGAAAAAAGTCATTCTCTGTAAAGTGCTTGAAATTATATCATGATGAGTTAAGTAATTTAGGCAAAAAAAATGGGACATTATGGTCCGTTTTTCATACTTCGAATTCCGGATTGCGCCGGCCAGGTTGTACCGACCTACGTCACAGGATAAACAAACCTCAAGATGCAAATACCTCCAGGGGCGGACTGGTAGTCGAAAAGTTAGGAGGCGACCTAAATGCGGGGGCCCCTCCTATCGTTCGAGGGCCCCTCTAAGAAGGTCCGGGGGCCCTCTCTCGGAAAATTTTGAAAATTTCACACTTTTTAAACGCAATTTTAAGCATTATTGGAGCTAAATTCTACAGTTCTTGAACTTCAAAATAACCCATTCTCAGGATTCTTCGGGGGCCCCTTCATCACATAGCTCTAGGCGACCTTTCATGTCTCTTAGAGACAAATTTTCAAGGATTTTGGGGCCTTTTAGTGACTGAAAAGGATAGGAAAATTTCAACATCACGGGGGAAAAAACGATGACTCGAAAAAAATTCGCCGCGGGGGCCCCTTCGGGACCTCCGCGGCAAATCGTTAGGAGGCGATCGCCTCCCCGCCCCCATGGCCAGTCCGCCCCTGAATACCTCCTTTTTTTCTCTATGTCGCCAATGTTACGGTTTCACCGTGGCATTTGTGTGTTTTAGGTAAGTTCAAAGTCACGGAAAAAGGACGAGACACTTATTAGATTTAAAATGCGCGCTCTCTAGTGACGTAATAGCTCAGATCGTTGTTGTTGTTGTTTTTAAACGGACATTTCAAATCCCTCACCCTAATTGGCTAACCCCAGAGGCGTTGCTGTGATTGGTCGAGCTCGTTTGTTTAGAAGCTTGAGCAGCTCGAAAAGTCGTTTTCATGTTTTATGTCTTTTTAAAAGTTATTAAACTATTCTTTTAATAAGTAGCCATGATTAGTTAATTGTAGTTGTTTCGAATATCCTTTGCGATTCAAGTAAGGTATGTTCTATTATTACATTAGTGTACGTCTCTGCAATTTCAACCTTTGTTATCAGTTTGAACGCGCGAAGTCTATTGTGCCCGCCTAGGTTAGGAAGATTTATGGAAATAAGGTAGCGACCTTATTTTACCGCTATCATTGCGTTAAAATATATGCTTTTACGCCTTTTGGTCCTTGATTTTCATGTTTTAATGGTAAATCTACTTGTCTATTGAAATACCATTTTGCTACTTTCTCGGAATGTTTCCGGAATCCAAGTGCCTTAAGCCCTGGAATTGATCCCTCAAAGCTCTGCTCTTTATTTTGACCGAGCTTCAAGCCGAATAGGTTTCTACACATCATTCTCCTGATATTCTCTCTGTTTACTAAATAAAACTTATTTCGTTGCAACGAGTGTGTATGAATATTTCACTGATAGAAACTTCACGTTTAGTCAACCGGCGGGTTATGAACGATCGTATGACTAGTGTGCCGAAATGAGAAGGCTGCATACAGAGGTCTTAATAATGAACAAACTACCTTGTAGTTAATAATTGCATGCTCAAAACTATATTCCCCTGAAGTGCCTCGATTAATTAAATTTTCTCTTCATTCTACTTCAGGTCAGACAAGATGAGTTCTTCTTCATCTTCACAGCGTCAGAGGCTTACGCTTATTGCCCAGTTTGATGATATTTGTAGATGTTACGAAATTTTGGCGGAAGGATGCGAACAAGGTAAAATATAATTATCTTTTGGTGATAGTATTGGTAGAAGTTTACCAATAAGTATTATAACACCAACTGTTTACTCTGAATAGACCATGGAGTTATAATGTGAATGGGAGAGCTAGCACCACTTTCCGAGACTCCCGTGTCACGCCGGGTCACTTTTTCAATACATAATTAGTTGCTTTCCGTTCAAGGAGACTCGACCATTGGAATCGCTACATATTCTACATTGTCATATTGAATTGAAAAAGTGATCAAAGCTCGGCGCTCACCAGGCTCGGAACATGGCGCCAGCTCTCCCATTCACATTACGACTCTATGTACTCTATGGAATAGACTTAAAGAACAAACCAGCAATGAACCGTTTCTGTAGAGATTTATAATTACATTCATTAATATTGATTTAGAAGTAGAGGTATTCAAAGGAATCCTCGGTACTGCTAGTTCTAAAGCACGGATGCACTGCCCAAGGCTGCTCTGGTCAGGTTCGGTTGTCGCCATTGGAACTGTTTTAATGGACGTATTTCTGTTAAACGGAACTAGGCGCCAATTTGAGTTCCTTTTGAAGAATTTAGAATCCCGCATAGCACGTTCTGTCAAACGAAACTGAGTGCCATGGATAAGCATTACGAGTATAGGACGGAACGAGCCCGACGCTGATTCCGCCGCCAATCCAAGTCCCCCTATACCTTCCTCCTCCGATGGCGCTCAGTTCCGTTTGACAGACATACGTCCAATTGTGAGTTAAAGCTTTGTTGCCTGGTACATTTTTTTGTTGGTTTACTTGGCCTGCAAAACTATTATGCATAGCAGAAGCTTATTTTTGCCAGATCTAGAAACTTCAGTAGCTGTCAGTACGGGTTTTCTTATCATTACTACTTCTTTAAGACACTGTTTTGATAGCCCGCCGTTAACCGGTAGAGGAACGCCATCTGAAACCATCTCCCATGAAATCTGTTGCAACTAAAATACCTAACTTAAGTCAGTTCTTTGAACCTTATATCAATTCATTCAGTAGGTAACATGGTTCTTGGATTTAATTTTATTTCTTACATTTGTGTAAAATTTCATGAAAAAAATTATGATACCACTGATTTTCTTTCAAATCAACGCTCAAAACTGAAAATAGCATTGAATCTGAGGCCATAATGGAGGAAAAAAATTGCTTCATAAGAGTGTCAATCTCTATTTTCAATCAAATGCCACATGTAGAGATGGATCAGAAAACTTCAGGAGAGCTGCTTTTCCATGTGGCAACTTCAAATTTCAGAATGATTGTTTCTACCCTATGTTGCGGGAACCCTGCTCATATATTGAGCTGTATTTCTGTGTGAAGGGTTTTATTGAATAGAAGAGCCAAGACATTTTCACGCAGCAGATATGTTCCCTCATTACAGCCTCAATTTCGAGATCAATTTTTAAACTTGCTTAGGAATCACTTAATTTGAGAGAAAAGCAGCAGCACTGAAAAGTATCTCTAACCTTTTCCAGCCAAATGAATGATTGAGTAGAAAATCATCGCCGTATATCAGAACTCTATTCTAGTTCTATTTTTTCCTGATTATAATTCAAGTCATTTGTTCTCAGAGCTCTGCCATTAAAGTGGGTCCCTCTGTTCATCTAATTCTTATATTTCTTTGACATGTGTTTAAGCAGATTTCAAGCGCTTCGTGTTGAGCCAGGAAGGTGTGCGACTAAAATGGCTAGAAGCAGTCAATGAGTGTCAACGCATGAAAGGTGCACTTGAGTCGAGTAACAATGAGATCTCAACTCTCAATAAAAAACTGCGCACAGCCAGGATAATGCTTGACCGAGAGAAAGCGATGAGAAGAAATGCAGAGCGAGATTTGGCGGCCATTATCAGAGACTATGCAGCAATGGTACGTTCTTTACAGGATATGTAAAGCCTCAAAAGAGGCGTTTTTCCTTTGAAACTATTTTTCTCATCTTAGAGCTTATTCCTAATGATGAATCTCTTTTTTTGTCATCTGATAAGGACTAATGAAAAACGAAGGCCCTATCTTAAAATGTGCATTGATTTTTAGAGGTTAGCATCTCAATAAAAAATTTATCAAATTCGAAGGTGAACTGAAAAAATAAGAAATAAGATAGGTAGGTAGATATTTATTTTTAAAAAGAGAGGAAGGAAAAAATTGAAGAGAAACTCAAGTACAGTGAAGAAGTTTTTGACTGAACCGTACCCCCATCGCCTTCTGTAATTGAGGCCACTGCTGGAATAACCACCTATAGTGGAGAAGATAGTTGTGAGAAAATCACATTTGAAGTTTTGATTTTAAAATGCGTCGCTGATTTTGCGCTGTAGAAAAACTGCAAAAGCTTTTTTTTTAATTGGTTTTGCCTTTGAACAGTCCACTGTGCATTTTTGAAAAAAATAAATCAGAATTTAATAAATGTATATTGTAGGTGGCTATTTCACCTATCTGGTAAAATGTCTGATTAATTGCTTTAAAAATACAATTGATGCTTTGCAACAGTCATAGAATGTCATTAAAAGCAAAATAATATGTAGTCCTGTGACATTGATGAAGCACGAGATTGCATTAGTGGGCTGAAAAACACTGGTAAGTGTATCGGTACGCATTTATAGATGGTCATTCCACCTAACACCAAGTTTCAAGATAAAATGGCTGTTTAATTGATTGAAAACACAAATTAATACTTTGTAACTGCCATATAATAGGGGGCGACTGCGGGTAAGCAGGGTTTTTTTTTTTTTTTAAAAAAAAAACGGGTTTTTTCCTACCCTGATGGATCTCAGCAGACTTCAGTCCATAAGTTTCTGTGCGATGAAAAATTTGTCTCATGGTCCCGACCGTTTATAATTACTTTAATAATGTGTTTATTTCATGTGTCACAGAAGTATTTAAAATCATTCATTGTATCAAATGACCCATGTATCAAATTACAACACCAAATCATAATTTTGTGATATGCTCCTCTGATCCACTGAAAACTTGACAGCTCTTTTGATATTTGCATTTTTCTCATCAATTACCTTAATTGATAACTTTCAGGATAACTCTGTCACAAATGCAACCATGAGGAGTAGATACAGCGCTGATGCCAAGCTAGCAGATGGTCTGAATACCATTAGCGAACGGGATTCCGGTAAGATTTGGATAAGATTCATAGTCATTCACATTCATAATCTCAAGTTTTTAGATGACTTTTTAAAGCCAGTGATACAAAATCAGATGGATTTTGTGATGTTTCTGGAGTCTTAAAGGTTCCAAGAAGCTGGCTGCTTACAACCGTCCTACAGGATTTTACAAAAAATGGACTACGTGGTTTTTAAATTGTGCACCTAGGAACATCACACAATTGAAATAAATATAAATCTATTATAATTTAATAAGCTTAAAAGGGTTAAATCAACAAATAAAACACATGTATAAGAAGAGTGAAAATAATGAACCAATGTGCTCTGAACTGAGTAAAGAAACTATTTCCTCTGGGCAAGAAAAATTCTCACCCGCCGAAATTCCCATCGGAAACAGCGCGAACGGCGCCCTCTGTCGCTGAACGCTGGAACTATTTTCAAAACTTTCAGCGGCAAAATTGCGTGTGTGGCCGCTGCCTGCTGATACTAGTTATCAGTTCTTTGTAAAGGAAGTCAAAAACGTTAAAAAACTTGTGAATCATCATTCCTGTTTTAGTCATTTTTATTATGTGATTCACAACTCCTCTCAAGTTGTCAACAACCCCCCCCCCCTTTTTTGACTAAATGTGCCTTGAAGTAATGTTTTTATTTCTCTTAACTTTTTATTGTTGTCTGTCAGTTTTTAAAAGAAAAAAATTTGTCATGAATGTATTTTATACAGTTAAGTGCAAGTATTTCTCACGGTTTCATTAATTTTTTCTATTGGTTTTCCTAAGAAGAAGCAAATCCTCCATGGTTGAGAGCAGTTTTGCTACAAGGCTACTCAAAATTTTTGCAGTTTTACAAGAAAAAGGATGTTATGTCCTGGTATGTTCTTATAAAGCATGCTGTCATGGATTTCTTCAGCTTTTTTGGAAGCTCATGAGTCACTCTAACAACTCTTGTTGTAGAGTGTCCACAAAAATATGCCTAGCCTAAATTTTAAAGCCAGAGGTGGACTAACTCCAAATTTTCTGGAAGCGGGCCCTACCGAAAAAAGAATTCGGGTTCGGTGGCAAAAGGGGGAGAGAAGTTTAGAAGGCAGTCATGACAGGCTCTGGGAGACTTGAAAAAATTTCTGAAGAGGACCCCAAAAATCTGCCAAGAGGAGGCTGTTTTGGCCGAAGTTTAGGGGGAATGAGCCCTACCTGTCTACCCTTACTTGAATTACTCGTTGACAAGTACTCACTAGAAAGTGAAAAATCGGGAGGCGCAGAAAGTTTTTCGGAGCAAAAATTTGTTGCAGTCTCACTACACACACTCAATGACCTATCTGCAAAAATGTAACAGGCCTAGGTTGAGCAAAATATGTCGAAGCAAAAATATGAGGTATGGAGGTCAATTTTTTGTGTTTGGATGAAGAATCGTACTTTGACTGAGTTCTCATTCTAACAAAAAAAAAAAAAAATTACAGATGTTTTTAGGGGTTGAAACTAGTAAAAATGAAAATTGGTACATTTACATTTTACATGTATGCCGTTATTCTATAGCTGCTTCCTACTGATAATCAAAGTCAAAAAATATAAGATTTGTTTAATTTTTCTTATTTTCAATGTAATAAAATCACTTGTTCTAAACGTTGGTTTTCAAAAAAAAAAAATGTTTAAGTTGACATTGAATCAGAACTTCCTCTCCTGCATCCCAATCAGAATATCTTTTTTGTTCTCTTAGACATACGATCGGAATTGAGTTATTCTCGCTCAGATGATGATTTGGATGTATCTTACGGAAAGCAATGGAAAAGAAATCGGCCACCACCTATGGCAAGCCCAGAACCTGTCAGTGCAAAGCGAAGGCGCTCATCTTTATCCACGAATACCAACACAAACTCAAAAAGGACTCTAGAGGTAAGAAATTTCAGTTCCACACACAGCCATTCAGCATTATTGTGGAGCGATGTATTTTTTTTAACGGCATTAAAGTAACTAAGACAGTTAAAACTAGTTAAGTACTTTAGACAAAGGGGAATTTGGGTAGAACGGCTCAGACAAGAAGTTAAGAAAGATCCAAAATCGTCAGATGTATGTAGCTATTTGCAATTTCATCAGTTGCAATGAAAACAGTTTAAATCCAGCTTTAGTTTTTTGGCTAAGCTAACCACATCTAATTTGGCAGTGCCTAATTGAGGAGGACCAAATACTCTCTTAGTCCAAGATCTGATCTAATATAAAATTTTTTTAAATATTCACAAAGTCCAACTGTCTATTTTTTTCTGCCATTACTAAAAGTTGCATTTATTGGTATCAGCTGTAGCGTATTCCCATAAAAAATGGAATTGTAGATTGTGCAGTGCGGAAAACCAAAAGAAATTTTTTTGTAAGCTCAAGCAATTTTTCCCCAGCTTTTCATGCCCTAGTCCAACTAGTCAGCTTCACCAGAACCAAACTTTAATAGCAGTATATTTTCTTGGTAGGTTATTCTCTGTATGTAGGACAGTTTTAAAAAGTGCCTTTCTAATTCAAACTTTTTTGTACTCAAAGATTAAACTTTAGTTTACACCAAAGAACATCGCTTCATTATTGTCCTCTGTCGTATCTTGGCAAGAGCAAATCTGACTCATCTCTGTCCTGTTAAATTTCCCAGTACTTTGCAAAGATTTAAGGAGCAAGTTCATATTCTTGGCAAACATAGATTTTGTGTCAGATGTACGATTTTTACTTGTTATTTTACGTCAAATCTTCTACTCATATTAGCCACACATTGACCTGTAGAGTCCATCAACTCAATTTCATTACTGTCTGAAAAAAGAGTAATGGGTCTCCTGGTATGAAGGAGGAAGTCGAGAACTTTCACATCTTCACATTGCAAACATGCTATCACAAATGAGTTATTGACTGGATCTGGAAAGAAAGTCTCTGTTGTATCGATCAATAATTTTTTCACAATTTCAATTTAAATCTAATGTAAGCGTTTATAATTTCCCAGATTCATGGAGGCAAAGAAAGCCTGGTCACAACAACAACCGTGACCATGAAAAAGGGAGAACCTGTCACCGCAACACAGACAATGCACACCATTCCTGCTTCGTCTTCTTCAACGACTTCGCTGTTCGCCCATCCAACTACTCCGGCAGCAAGACCATTTCCCAGCCGAACAAAGATTCAAGCGTCCGCTCCACCAGCATCTGGTGTGTATTCTACCTTTCTATTCCTTTATTGCAATGCATGCCCCAATGACAATCCACTGATAAAGAATTGGCCTCTATCTCATCAAAGTTAATCTTCTGTTTTCCTACTAAAATTAGTAGACCCTTAATTTGATTCTTGGACTGCTTCCACAATAATAATATACATATTACAATATAAGTAAGTATTTACTTACAAAAAAAAGGAAACAGCATGTTTAATGTGACTAAGTTCATTTGAATAAACTCAATAAATGAGAAAAGTATGGTGAATTCATAAATATCAGCTTAACTGATATGCTGCTTGATCTGACACTGATAAATATGAGGAAAAAACAGATTTTGTGGAGTGGAACTATAACTGATACCATAAATGTTCTTGAACAAGTCAGAACAGCTGCTGTAAAGAAATTCTACATCTTAGTTTTTGTGTTGGTTTTAAAGAAATGTGTCAGATTGAATTGTTCTTTTTTGCTGGTGTAAAAATTTAAGTTTTGCTTTTAAATGTTCTTTTTAGATGATGAATCAGATTTTACAAACATGAATGAAAATCTACAGAATATCAGCCCCAACATCAGAGAATATGGCGCAGGGAGCCAAATCAATTCAAGAATGCATCAGTTTATCCAGAGAACTATCATGAAACCAGAAAGCTGTGGTCCCTGTGGCAAGAGGTAGTTTCCAAAGTTGTTTTCGTTGCGCTAAGGACCGTTTAGAAAGCTCATGAGAGAGAAGAATTTTCCACAACTATGTAGTAGACGGCAAAAATACTGGCTCAAATCAATTTTCTATAAAAAAATAAGTTGAAATCGTTTAAATAAAGTAGAGTGATTCTTTCTAGGGCTATAATTGGCACACCATTATATACCCTTTGGAAATTTATTTAGTTGAAGGTTGCAAGGAAATACAAAATATAACAATAGTGTATTTTCTTTGGAAAATACACTAAAAAAAGACATGATAGATAGACTTTGAACCGCACCAATTGCTATAGTAAAGCAAAATTGCCCACTTATAAGGAAAGAGTGGTACAAGATGTTTGCTACCATGCTGTCATAAAACCTGGGCTACAATTTTTTGTAAATATCAATGTGAACCAAGGAGTACATCCCCTGACTGTGATGCAGTCTAACCCCTAGTGGATGCGTCGCATCCTTACAGGTTAATAGGAAGGAAGCGAGCTTATCTAGTTACTATCTCCTATCAACAGCTCCAAAAATCATAAAAATCGCAGTATCTGAAAACAGAATGAAATTTTAAAACCTTTATACTCTGGTTTTCCCTCCCCGAAAAAGTCTTATGTGCTGTCATTTTTTCTCCACAGAATTAATTTTGGCAGGATGGCCTTGAAGTGTATAGATTGTCGAGCTATTGCTCACTATGATTGTAAAGAACAAGTACCATTACCCTGTGTGGCCATGGGAACTACACCAACCGGAAAAGGCGCAGTAAAGGTAATTTCTAATCAGCTGCTATTTTTCTTGTGTGTTACACTTTATACTCATTTAGACATAATTTAAAAAATTCTTCTTAGTTATCAGAAAACCTAATCCAATTTCCGCTCCTTTGAAATATAGGATTTGACGTTTTAACTAATGATTACTTTTAGCTGATCTATGAATAACAACAAAATCGGCCTTTCTCAAAAATGCTCAAGGGCCAGAAATGAGATTTCAAGGAAAACTGTGAAAACTGTTTTAAAAGGCCCGCACCAGACTTCGGAGGTTAGAAACAAGGGAAAAGAATGCACTTTAAAATCGGATTGTGGTTTTTTTAGAAATATCCCTAAAATTGAAGCGGAAAATGAAGGAAGAAACGAATTGGAGTTTGAGTCTTTTGGAGTATGAACAAAATTAAGTCTACCTATTTTCCTCATTTCAAGTCAAATTTTTAGTATTCTAAGCCGTAATGTGCATGAAAATTTTCAATTACAATTTAACTTCGTAAAATAAGATGATACTTTACTTACTAATGATTTCATTACTCATGAAGTGCAAAAGCTTAGTAAAATTTTAAAAATAAAGTGTGACTTATAAATATATATATGGGTTATTCTTATTTCCCTCCCTGTCTCTGTCTGGTGTCTGTGTTCCTATTGGGGGATCCGGTCATATGATCCACCAATGGGAGAGCTGGACACCGGAGAGAGAGAAGGACGGTTTCAAAGAGACGCCATATTTCTTTATTCATTTCTACTTCGATCAAGAGCGTGCGGACGTGTTATACGGTCAAAGATGTGAGTAGTTTTCTCAGAGGGCAAATCACCCTTAGGGTGATTTTCTTTACGTTTTGATTATTTTTATTGTGTTCGGGCCGGTCGACGACTCGTTGTTCTTGACGTATCATCTCTTTTTTCTTTTCATGCTTCCTTTTTCTCAGCTGCTACAGCAGCACCGCTTCTAAAGATATGTTTGGCCTGAACGAACAAAAATTTACCCCCTCATACTTAAAAATTCGAAATGACTTCATGAGCGATTCAAAACGGATCAAATCAAGATAAGCAAGCACTATCTAGCGCTTTGGCGCCTATGTCTTTTTGAGAATGGCTGGACCTATCAGATGTTTTTTAGGTGTTAAAAATCAATTTTTTTGTCTGTCACTTCGCAGCTAAAGCATCTATGCTTAAGCAACACCAAACTTCCAAAACCTCAATTTTCGATTCTTTGGCGCTCAAGTCTTTTTAAGAGTGACCAATTCAACTGTGGGATTCTGTGTTCACTCCTATAACCAACGAACTGCGCATTTTTAGACTCCTTACTTTTTTTTCAGGGCACCATTTCTGACTTTACTCCTTCGATTCCACCTATGGTACCTGCTCTTGTAATCCATTGTATCAATGAAATAGAACAGAGAGGTATGTCAGAAATTGGACTCTATCGCGTTCCGGGATCAGATAAAGAAGTGAAGGCTCTTAAAGTAAGTTTCTCGTTTCTGTTATCTCAAAGTATAAATCACAGTAACGATTCAATGCTTGTTACTAAAATAGGTGAATGTTCTGTTTGTAATGCATTGCTTACCTGCAGGCGTATTATTAAAAGTTTCATGAAGTCGTGGGAAGACATTGAAAAGCAATATATTGTGTGGTTTAGATAAGACCATGTCTTGTCTTGTCATATCGACATAGATTTGATAATCGGGCGGCTGTCTTTGTTTAGGGAGCAGCTTTGTGAGGTAGTTGAAAACTGTGGGTAAGAATGAAATGTTGAAAGGTTTTTAAGCGTCAAAAAGTTTATAAATTAAAATATTTTTAAAGAATTTCTAGCCGCAGAAAATTGAGTCCTAATGTGCAAACCCTTGAATAGTTAAAAGTGGGAATGCCTGTTTAGGTTAAGCCTACCAAGGGTGTAGAAAATGCCCGATCTTTTATCCGCATATTTCGGAAAATATGAGACAATTTTCCAAAAAAAAGTTTTTTTTTAAAGATTTTTTCCTCAGTATTTTGCAAAAACGATACGTTTTGTCATTGAATTGTGGTATCCAGGATCTGGATACACCGGGATTACTGGGACTCTTCAGGGAATGAAAAATATTCGGGAAACTCAACGAATTTGTTAAATAATAATTGGTGCTACAAACTGCAAATTTCTCTATTTTCTGTTCTGAGATGTAATTATTCTTAGAATCAGTGATTAGTGTTGACTAGGTTTCACAGAATCAGACCAAATATTAGTTAAAAAACTGATTTTTTTCACAAAGTTTGGAGAAAAATCTTGTTTTTTTCTAAGAGAATTTAGAGAAAAAATAAGTGAAAATTCTAGGTTTTCACAAGGGAATTTTTCTGTGAAAATTAAAGAAATGTCAGAGAATGAAAAAAATCAAGACTTCTTGACACCATGCGTAAAATGGACATTTACTTTGAGCTGTAAATTAGGAATTTGGCCGAATGGCAAAAATTCCAGATCACAGCAAACTGTCTCCGTTTTGGAACTTCTTGAACCCTAGATGCCTATCAAACAATTATTGGTAATTTGGTAATTAACGACCAAGACTTTATTATTCATGTATTGAATGAGTGAGAGTATATCATACTTTTATTTTTATCTGAAGACATCATCTCTTCTTTGAACAAGGAAGCACTGCTGTTAAACTTTTTGCCTGTTTTTATTTTCTTGATTCGTTTTTCATAATGTCTTCCCCCTTGAATTTTCAGGAGAAATTCATGCGAGGAAAGGGTGCTCCAAATTTATCACAAATCAAAGATATTCCAGTAATTTGCAGTTGCTTGAAGGACTTTCTGCGTAATTTGAGTGAGCCGTTGATTCCTACGTCAATGTGGGGTGATTTTGTCAGGGCAACAGAAGCAGAGAAAACCAAGGCGTTGGACGAATTTCGTGCTATTTTGTACCAAGCTATTTACTGCAGTCTTCCACAACCAAATCGAGATACACTAGCTTACATAATCCTCCACTTGCAAAGGTAAACATTTCAATTAGTGCCGTCTTCTTGTTCGATCCCCAGAAATCTCTCACAAAAATTATTGCCACCTTAAACATGAAAAAGAGGGGGAATACACAAACGGATAATAGTTCATCCTTGCTGGATTCAAATAATTGGCCTACATGCTGACTTCAATACTTTAAATACCTGTCTTCTTGAGCAGATATAATGGTTAGTACAGAATAAGATGAAGAGATGTGGCAAGTGTAGCATGCACCCCCCCCCCCCCCAAACAAATTCCTTGCCCGGCTGTAAATGGGACAAGTCTCTGCAGCAATGCTTAAAATGGGCCTGTTACAAACTTTTGCTAGAGCAAGAATAAGAGTTGTTTCTTACAGTAAATGGGTCAAAAATCTCAATGAGCCCATCGGCAAAGTCTAAAATGCACTCCTAACTTCATATTTTGCGTTTTTTTGAGCTTCGTACTTCAAAAACAATACTACGGCACAGGTGAATATTTCGTTAGAGGAGTTGCTTCATTCAACCGTTGCGTACTAGAACGTTTTGCAATACCCAACATAACGGAAGCTATCAAAACAGATCTTTATTAACGCGAGGAAAACTTGAATGTAAACTTGCCAGGTTGTTAACAAAAGGTTAGAATCTGGTCTTGGCACATGAGTTTTGACGGGTCGGCGTCGGCCATGTTGAAAATTGTGTAGTATCCTACTGCACAGAGGGGTGACTCCTTTAATGATATGTTCACCTGTGCCGTAGTATCGTTTTTGAAGCGGGAGGCTCAAAAAAACGCAAATTTCTTACGCAGATTGTGAAGTTAGGAGTGCATTTCAGACTTTGTTAATGCGCTCATCGTGATTTTTGAGCCATTTTCTCGAAAAAAACAACTCTTATTTTTGCCCCAGCAAAAGTTTGCAACAGGCCCGTTAAAGTTATATAAATGAAAACTTATGAGTCTCAGTGCAAACCTGAGGGGAAGAGAGTTGAGCCTGGATACTTGCATCAAAAATGTTTGTCTATAGCCCCTCTTGTGGCTTTAATCCCCCCTTCGTATAATGTGGACCCAGCTCTATCCTACCATCCTGAGACTTTTAGCACTTGAGCCGCGTTTTTAGTTTTTCCTCCTAATTTTTCATGAACATTTTACAGGGTAGCAGAATCGCCGGAATGCAAAATGCCTATCAAGAGTTTGGCTGATGTCTTTGGGCCAACCCTAGTTGGGCCGAAAATCATGTCTGCCGATGCCAGTACAGCTTTCAAAGAAAACCATCAAGCATCACAGGTATGTATGATGTTCTATTTTGGTATTTCATCTTTGTGGTAAGTCAGCATTTGGTTAGAAGTCATCTCACTTGCCTCACATGCAGGGAAAATTCGAGAGGTTAGTCACCACAGTAGTGAAATCATCATTCTCTTGAACTGACAAACATAGCAGCAAGATTTTGGATGAATTTTGAAACCCCTTCAGTCACTCAAAGATCACAAAATCAAAGTTGTTAATATGTAGTGCCCTTTCTCATAGGTAGAAAGTATAATACATAGATAACCTTTATATATGTCGCAGGCTAATAGTGAAATCAGGCACTTTGTCAAATGCCTAGGCAGATAGTTTAATTTTGACGGTTTACACGATTTTGTGAATTCATGGCGAAGAGCTCACGAGTTTTCAGTATTTTTGGAAGAACAACTCATGAAACCTTCGAACTTTTTTCGTCTCTTTCTCTTCAATTGCTTCTCATATTTTAAAATGTTGAAATTCCGAAAACTCTGAATTTATGACATGCTTAAAATTTCGAGATAAACGGCTGCTCAGGAGCTAAAAATTGTTTAAAATACTATTGTGTGATGCAAATTTTTACTTAGAATTTTTTTTCACATGAACAATGAATTATTTTCTGTAAAAGTTTGAAAATAATCAAAATTTCAAACCAAGTTGGAATTTTCGACTATTTGCCCAGACATTTGACAAAATGCCTGATTTTACTATTTGCATGCGACATATACAAACAAACTGTATATGTATGAAGTAGATCACAGAGGGAAGTAAGCAATCAGCCGTTCCCTTCTGCCCCTGTAAATATTTGTAATATTTTATGGGAATTACGGAAATAAATAAATAAAAAATCTGTTTTACAAAAGTTATTGAAATGGCTATGTTAAAAATCGCAACAAAAAGGAGACAAGTCAGCTGTCAGTTCCATAGCTGGCAAAAATAAGCTGTTGCCATGCACATCAGTTTTATGCGCCAAGCAACCCAATGGACGGACAAATGTGGCAACAGTGCTTTGACTCGGGGCTCATGCTCCCCCAACGTTGGCCGTTTCCGACAATAATGGTCTCATGAGAATGTTTTGTTGATCGAGGATAATGTTTAAACTTCTTATAGTAAAGTTCCACATCAATATTAGTACATACATAAAGAATTCCGGTGTAACTCCCTCAAATCTATCTATACTAATAAAGCAGACTTCACGTTGATTGACTCACTCACTGACTCACGTATCAGCGGATCTCGTGAACGGGAGGCCGTGTGACCCTGAGATTCCGCACTGGGATCCCTCTCTACCCCGAGGCGCCGGATAAGGGAGGATTTCGCGATCCGCCCGCCGGTTCGCGGGATATCGCGGTCCGCGCGGGTCGATTTTCCCGTAAGGACAACGGGTGCGAGAGAGAGTGCGAGCGAGATGGAGCGA